AGTGTCGTACGGCGCTCGGAGGTACGTGTTCCCGGCTCCCCTCGAAACCAAGGAGGGGAATGAGTCTAAGGCATTCGATGTCTGAAGTGAGTAGCCTCTTCTGCTGTGCCGTAGTGAGTTTCAAAAGTGCGCGTCGAAACGGGAGTCGAAGGGGGGGAAAAAAACGTGCTGCGGATAGTGAAAGAAACGTTTGTTGTCCAGAGCAAAGGGGCTTGCGTAGTCCACCGCATTGGTTCCGCTGCAGATATGCCAGTATGGAAGAGATCAAACAGTTGTTAGGCAAGATAGATTGCCTGTACGTTTAGAAAAGTGGAATCTGCACTGACCTTTGTAATCGGTTCGGAAACGAGAGCTACGGCGGTGCATCGGATCCATAATCTCTGCCAGTATTCGGGGTTTAACGATTTTCTGAATCCACCTGGAAAGCCGGGTCGGTTGGCAGACGTTCGCCCCAGTGTCCGGACCTTTAAAGAGAGAGAGAGAGAGCGTGAGAGAGAGGGAACGGAAGAGAGGAAGGGAGAGGAGAGGTAGAAAGGAAGAGAAATAACAGAAAATGATATCAACACACACGCAAAAACATCAAATCAAAAAATGTAAATAAAAATTTCAAAACAGAGCTCGGAAACCTACAGTCTCCACCCAAATCGTTCGGGAGCAAAGAGATCGCAGATGACTTACAAACGTTTACCGTAAGATTAAGCCGGTGATTCACCCAGTAGTGCAGTGCCCAGTACGATCAGTGGCGCGGGCTTAAGAGGGGGGGCGGAATTGCGGCAGAATATCCATAGTAGTCGGTCTCCATCAGCCCTCTGGAGTAGTAGGCTTGCGGGCTGACGCTGACTGCAGGAGCTCCTGACAGCTGGCGGGACTGACGTGTGATCGTGTTTTCATGGTGAATGGCCCCCGTGCAGAGAAATTTCACGAAGGTCGGAGGGAAATTTAGGAAAGTTGTGTTATGGTATGTGCTGTTTCGGTTCGGGTGTTGATGCTGAGATGGCGGTGCTTGTGGCCTTTTGAAATGTGGTAATGCGGCTGTGTGGATGGTGGATGAGTATTTTCTTGGTCTCTTTCACTCTGTTTGTCTGTTTGTGTCTGTCTGTTTGGTTGTTGGGTCTTCATTCTCTCTCTCTTTTTCTCTCTTCCTCTATCTATCTATCCTCCCCCCTTTCTCTCTCTCTCTCTTCTCTCCCCCCCCTCTCTCTATCTCCTCTCTCTCCTCCTCTCTCTCCTCCCCCTCTCTCTCTCACTCCCTCACTCGCTCACTCACTCACTCACTCACTCAATTTCTCACGCAGTCATATTATATATTTTTAATACGGATGCACACACACACACACACACACACACACACACACACACACACACCACACACACACACACACACACACACAACACACCACACACACACACACACACACACACGCACACGACGCCTTATGTGTCCTAAGTCACCGTGTATTTTATAGTGTGAGTGGGAATCGATAAAGAATATGAGAGATATTCTTCAGTTACTGCTGAAGACGCAAACAATTTTCTTTTCTCGGAAAGTTTAGAAATGCAGAACCTTGAAATTAGTTTTGTCAGGAGAATATTTTTTTATTTATTCGTTTCATGTTAAGTCACTTTGTTATTGTTAGTTTTATTAATTTTTTTGTTGGTGTTAGTGTTATGTTGTTGTTATTATTATTAATTATTATTATTATTATTATTATTATTATTGTTATTGTTATTGTTATTACTATTATTATTTTTATTATAATTACTATTGTTATTATTATTATTATTATTATTATTATTATTATTATTATTATTATATATTGTTATTATTATTATTATTATTATATTATATTATTATTATTATTATTATTATTATTATTATTATTATTTTTATCATTGTTATTATTATTATTATTATTATTATTGTTGTTATTGTTACTACTACTATTACTGCTATTATCAGTTTTATCATTATTATTATTGTTATTATTATTATTATTATCACTATTATGATTTATCATTATTATGATGAAAATAGTCATAATAGTTATTATTATTGTCTTAACTGTTGTCTTTATTGTTATCATTATTGTTATTATTAGTAGTAATATTAATGATGTTCTTATTGTTATTGTTATTATTATTATTGTTATTTTTGTTATTATTGGTAGTAGTATTAATGACGTTCTTATTATTATTATTATCATTGTCATTATTATTGTTATTATTGTAATTGTTATTATCATTTTTATTATCATTAATCCTATTACTGTTGTTAGTATTATTATTATTATTGTTGTTGTTGTTGTTGTTATTGTTGTTATTATTATTATTGTTATCATAATTATTACTATTATGATAATGGTGATCTTTATCTTCATTGCTACATTATTATCTTAATGATTATTATGTCATCATCATCATCGTTATTATTATCATTAATTATTATTATTATTATTATTATTTTCATTATTCTAATAATTATTAGTATTGTTATCATTATTATTATTATTATTGTTATTATTATTAGCATTGTGTATTTCTTGTTATCATTTTATTACTCTTTGTTATCAATATCAACAATTAATATTATTATGATGATAATAACTATTATTGTTGGTATTATTGATATTATTATTCTTATGGTTATTATGACTACTATTATTTGAAATTGACTTTATTATCATTATCATTATTGTTATTATTATTAATAGTATTAATATTTTGTTCATTTATTAATTATCATTATTATTATTATTATTATTATTATCATTAATTAATTATAATTATTTAATATTAATATCATTATTAGTATCATTCTTATCAAATATTATAATTATATCCATTATTATTATCATTACTATTATCATTATTATGATTATACTTATTATTATTATTAATATCATTAGTGATATTAATATTATTAGTGATATCAATATTGTTAGTGATATTGATATTATTATTATCATCAGCAGTATGTAATACATTATTTTCTTACGTCATACTTCATGGTTCATCGAAATTGCATAATGTTTGCTAATAACATATGGATAAAGGCATGGATTTATCTAATATGGAAAAAAAATGGTGTTTAAAGTATAGAACCAGACAGAGTGTACCAAGAATGTAAATCCATCTCCTTTAATATATCTCTTGTTACATTCTTGCAAAGCTTGGATGCATTTTTAAAGAGAAACCGTCATTTCATTCAAGATTTAAAATTACTTTTTTTTTTTCTTTTTTGTTGTATGAAAATCGGTAGTTTCTCTTTAATTGATGTATGAAAAGATGGTGTCGATGGTGTAATGGATGCAGCTGATAAAAGCGGATACAGATGGTGGTGATGAAATAAGCATTTGTTGACATTTCGTTTTATGGAAGTTTTGAAGGAATGGGACGTTATTTTGTCTTTTTGTTTATGTCTCTGTCTGTCTGTCTCTCTCTCTCTGTCTGTCTGTCTCTCTGTCTCTCTCTCTCTCTCTCTCTCTCTCTCTCTCTCTCTCTCTCTCTCTCTCTCTTCTCTCTCTCTCTCTCTCTCTCTCTCTCTCTCTCTCTCTCTCTCTCTCTTTCTCTCTCCTCTCTCTCCTCTTCTCTCTTTCTATTTCTCTCACTCTTTATTTAAATGAATAAATAGATATGAAAGAAGAAAATGTTTACTATACACACACGCACACACAGACACACACACACACACACACACACACACACACACACACACACACACACACACACACACCACACACACACACACACACACACACAGACAGACATACGCACATACAACACAACACACACACACACATGTATATATATGTATAATATAATATATTGTGATATTGTGATATTGTGTGTGTTAATATGTAGTTGCGATATATTATGTATCAATTTTGTTTTTTTATGAGAGTGGTATCGTTTATTCATAAATAATTTTTATTGGACAAGATATTTCACATGGCTCTGTAGCGTGGCTCTTCGGCATGGCCCAGGAGATTAATTATGTGATATAATTATTTCATTATATAATTGTTTCTGTTAGAAAGTATTAGATATCCAATACGTAGTCTATAAATGGAGGTGTATGGATTTATACCATGTATACATGTTAAAAAATGGGTGAGCTTGGTCGATGTGTGAGGGATATTGATTATACACACACGCACACGCACACGCACACGCCACACGCATACGCACACGCATACGCACACGCATACGCACACGCTCACGCATACGCACACGCACACACACGCACACGCACGCACAACACACACAACACACACACACACACACACACACACACACACCACACACACACACACACACACACGCACACACACACGCACACACATACTGTGAAGGTGTGTGTGTGTGTGTGCGTGTGTATACGTTTACATTTCCAATTTATTTTAACAGATTCTTTCCTATCACACCAATCTCTTCCATTCTTATTTATCATTTTTTTCTCTCTCTCTCCCATTCAGAGTCGTAGGGAGTCGCCCGGCGCCAACCACCTGCCTCCCACAGGACACAGATGGTGAAAGCTGGTGCAGACCACATGCATTCGATGACCTGACTAAAAGAAAAGAAAAGAAGAAGAAAAAAGGAAGGAAAATAGATAGAAAAAAGAAGGAAAAAAGGAAGGAAAAAACGATAGAAAAACAAAAACAAAAAAGGGAAGGAAAAAAGATAGAAAAGCAAAAACAAAAAAAAGAAGGAAAAGAAAGATAAAAATCAAGAACAGTATATGCTCGTCTTTTAGTGATTTATAAACCTAACTTCACTCTTTAAAAAACAGCAAAAAAACAGGTGGTGTTTGTGATTGTGGTTGTGCATGGAGAAGTTGGTGGAATGATCGACTTATACGGTGCAGCTGGTTGAGCACGTGCAGCTGGTGACGCTGACGTTGGGTCGGTGGCTGGATCGTTGGACAGGAAGAGAGAAGAGAAGAGAGAGAGAGAGAGGAGAAGAGAAGAGAGAGAGAGAGAGGTGAAGAAGAGAAGAGAAGAAAGAAGCGAGAGAGAAAAGAAGAGAAGGAGAAGAAAAGAGAGAAATTGAAGAGAGAGAAAGAAGGAACAGAAAGAGTAAAAAAATATATAAAAGAGAAGAGAAGTGACGGAACACTCAAAAGAAAAGAGACAAGAAAGAAAAACAAACAAACAAACATACAAACACGAGAAAGAAAAAAAGCAGAAGAAAGAAGAACGAAAAGAGAAGACGAAGAAGAGAGAGAGAGAGAGACAGCCAGACAGACAGACACACCAAATGGAGTGGCAGAGCTTGTACAGTGACTGCCCGAGGGTGGTGCTTGGCCTCACCATCGGCGCAGGGTTCCTCATCTACTACCTGGTCGAGGCTGTGAAGGTGAGTGGAGGGGGAGGGAGAGGGAGAGGGGAGAGGGAAAGAGGAAGAGGGAGAGGGAGGAAAAAGAGAGGGAGAGGTGGGGAGGGAGAGGGAGAGGAAGGGAGGGAGGGAATGGGGAGAGAGGAATGAGAGGGAGATGGTTGGGGGGAGGGAGAGGGAGATGGTTGGGGAGGGAGGGAGAGGGAGAGGGAGATGGTTGGGGGGAGAGGGAGAGGGAGATGGTTTGGGAGGGAGAGGGAGAGGGAGATGGTTGGGGAGGGAGAGGGAGAGGGAGAGGGTTGGGGAGGGAAAGGGATGGGGAGAGGGAGAGGGTAAGGGAGAAGGAGGGGGTAAGGGAGAGGGAGAGGGAATGAGAGGTTGAGGGATGGGAGGGTAAGGGGAGAGGGGGGGTAAGGGAGAGGGAGGAAAAAGAGAGGGAGAGGAATGAGAGGGATGGGGAGGGTAAGGGGAGAGAGATAGGAAGGGAGAGGGATGGGGAGGGTAAGGGGGAGAGGGATGGGGAGGGTAAAGGAGAAGGAATGAGGAGAGAAATAGGAAGGGATGGGGAGGGAGAGGGTAAGTGAGAGGGATGGGAAGAGGGAGAGGCTGTGATGGTGAGTGGAGGAGAGGGAAAGAGACGGAGGGAGAGAGAGGGGGATGGGGAGGGTAAGGGAGAGGGAGATGGATGGAGAGAGAATGAGAGGGAGAGAGGGAGAGGGATGGGAAGAGGTTGAGGCTGTGAAGGTGAGTGGAGTGAGAGGAGGAAGGGGGAGGGAGAGGGAAGAAGGGAGAGGGAGAGATGGAGAGGAGATGGGGGGAGTAAGGGAGAGGGATGGGGAGTAGGGAAGGGAAGGAGAGATGAGAGGGATGGGAGGGTAAGGGAGAGGGAGAGGGAGAGGGTAAGGGAATGAGAGGGATGGGAAGAGAGAGGGAGGGAGAATGAGTGGAAAGGGGAGAGGGAGAGGGAGAGAGAAGGAGAGGCAGGGATGGGGAAAAGGAGAGGGAGGGAAGGGAGAGGGATGGAGAGAGGGAAAGAGGGTGGGGAGGGATGGGAGGTAGGTAGAGGGGGAAAGAACGGAGGAAGAAAGAGTGAGAGAGGTGGGGAGGATGGGAGGGGGAGGGGAGGGTAAGGGAAAGAAGTAGAGGGAGAGAGGGGGATGGGGAGGAAGAGGGATGGGGTGAAAGGGAGGAAAGGAGAAGGAGAGAGATATAGAGAGAAGTAGGAAGGGAAAAGAGACAAAATTAGGATATAAAGATTAATAAGTCTCAGGAGCACATTTGTTCGCCATTTTGTATTCTCTTATGTATTTTTATTTATATGTGTATACACATGTATACAAGAATGTACACATACATATATGTACAATATATAGTATGCACACACACCACACACACACACACACACACACACACACACACACACACACACACCACACACACACACACACACACACACACACACACAACACACTTATGTTGTATACACATATACATACTTATGTATGTATATATATATATATATAATATATATATATGTATATATATATGTATATATATGTATATATATATATATATATATATATATATATATATATATATATATATATATATGTATTGTGTGTGTGTGTGTGTGTGTGTGTGTGTGTGTGTGTGTGTGTGTGTGTGTGTGTGTGTGTGTGTGTGTAAACACATATAGATAGATAGATGGATGGATAGATAATAGACAGATAGACAGATACACACACATGTATGCACGTACGTACATACATATATTCACACATACATACATACATACATAGGCACACACACATATCCTTTTATACCCTAATATGCGACTACATTTGCCATGTACACATCCGCGTATGCACATGCACATGTTTATCGAATGTGCTTCAGTCCGCGACCTTTTACTGCAGGCTGAGTTCCCTATTGGCGTGGGGAGGTGGGGGGGGGTGGGTGGTGGTGGGGGGGGTGGGGTGGGGGGTTGGGGGTGAGTGGTGTTGGGGGTGAGTGGTGGTGAGGGGGTGGTAGGGGGTGAGTGGTGGTGGGGTGGGGGGGTGAGTGGTGGTTGGGGTGGGGTGGTGGGGGGATGGGGTGGTAATGGTGGGGGTGAGTGGTGGTGGGGGTGGGGTGGGGGGTGAGTGGTGGGGCGGGTGAGTGGGTGGT